GTTAAGACTAATATTGTCAAGATTCTTGGAGATGTTTCTTAAAAAATAAAGAATGAGGTTAACTTGAGAACATTACTGAATGATGAGACGATTTTGAAGGAATCCCAAGTAAAAAACTAATTAATTGGGATTAAATACAAGTTTTCAGAGCACCATACTTTATGTTATCTAGACACACCATTTAATTGATAACTTATAGAACCTCTATGCAAACATTACACTACTCACGATATTGTTTAGAATAGATTATTTTTGGCTAACAGTACAGTTTGAGACAGGCGTTTTATTATATTCTGTACTCATTGGTTGATTGTACTAACATTCCAGTGTTGATATTCACATTAATTCAAGGTAAATTATGACAAAATGGTTATTTAGAGACCATCTTCACAGAAGACATGTACAAAAAATGATTGATCAAAACTCAGTCCTGAATATCGAGAACAGGTTAGTTCAACAATGTTATTTCATCAACCTTGACATAAATTCCTTTGATGACAAAGACTCTTTGATACAAATGTCACAATTTACTATACAGACACAGAATGTTTTCTACTCAGACTATCAAGAAGTTTGATTTTTAAAAAAAATTTGATCGATATGAAAAACAAATGTGTTTTCTTTTTCAAGTGGCCAATCTATATAACTTGATACTTTTGTTGCATTAAAAATAGATCAGAAGGGGTTTTGTGGAGACTTCAGTATTTTTCATAGTTGAAATCATGAGTCAATTGAAGCTAGACCACCATGGAAAACCTGGAAGCACTGGGCGGAATAATAAGTTCTAAACCTCTCTATTATTAATGGCACAACATCCTTTAACATACAAATTTACTCAACTGATAACTACTCAAAGAAAGTATTATATTGTCTATAAATTGGACTTCCGAAATGATTTAAAACGAGGATATCGTTTGTGGTTTTAACATCTTCGAATTCTGGATAGTTTAACTGAGAAGTATATGATATTACGTTGGCAGTAATTATGTTATCCAGAAAATGACCTAAACAATATAAAGATGATACTAAGTGATTGCCTCAAGATGAACATTTATTTAAGGAAAAGACATGTAAAGAATGAGCTTCGTTATTGTGATTAATAAAAGAGATGAAAGAATTTAGGAATAAAACAGTATTTGTATCGTTGTCATTAAGGACTTTAGTGATCTCGTTGTTATTATGTGCAACTAGATTTCGATCAATCTTTGTTGGGATATCTGTATTCTGTTTAGATTACCTCAAATCAACAAAAGAATAATTGAAACACTTATTAATAATGATATAAACATTGTATTCATTGAACACGTTGATGACTATTTAAACTCAGGAACTTAGTGGATAACATATTGAAAAGTACTACGTTTTTGATGGAGTTTTGTTCTCTGAGCTGGATGGTTTGATCGTGGAGCTTTCATCGTCCTTCTGAACGATATCATTAGCACAAACTAGCCGAAGTTTGGGTAGTTTGTGCTAATTATATCGTTCAGAAGGACGATGAAATCTCCACGACCAAACCATCCAGCTCAGAGAACAAACCTACATCAAAATCCCCCACCTTAGCTACAAATCTTCTCCACCATCTCAGTATTATATATCTTTGGTCAAAAATATAACTCATATCTGTTAAGAGTGAACTCTGTATTCATTCAGTATTTAACATTAGCAGAGCTGTGAACCTATCAGTTTAATCTTGATCTAAGAAAAAAGTCCCATAATAGAACGAAACGACCGTCCAGTACTTCCAGGTTTTCCATGATGGTCTAACTTCAATTGATTCATGATCTCAACTATCATATTAACTATAATATCCACAAAACTCCTTCTTATATAAATCTCATCTATAATTAAATATTTCACTTTTTTCATCTAAAATCCATAAATGTTGATTGTTATTATTGATTATCTACAGTGTATACTATTTGAGTTAAAACTAAGGAGGAATGAGTGACCTCAAATTAAACTAAATAAAGAAATGATTAAGATAACATTTTCGGAAATGTTAGGACTTCTCAACAATAAGTATGTATGGTATTTTCGTGTTGATTAGTAACTAATTTCAAGGTAGATTTCGTGTATTTCATATGATAAGCAATATTCCACAGAGTTGACTAAACTGAGTTTGAGACAATAACTCTCTGACGGCATTAAGTGAGAACCATATTTCTTTTTCACAAATTAACTAAAGTTGAAAATGAGAATATTTTGTTTAGTCTAAAGAAAATTTCTGATAATCGATACTGTTCAGTAAAATAATTTTAGGTGGAGTACATACAAGACAGTTCCATAACGAATCGATATCAAGACTGGTAGGTCCTGAGTTTGAATCTTGCGAGTGCAGGATCGTGAATGCACACTGCTAAGGAGTCCTATAATAGAACGAAACGAACGTCCAGTGATTCCAGGTTTTCCATGGTGGTCTATCTTCAACTGACTCATGATTTTAACTATGAAGAATCGATATCAGTCAAAACTTCATATTTTAAGAAAATTTAGGAAACATTAGAAAACTATTTCATGTAAATTTAAAACTTTAAAAGTTTACACTGTCAGTTGCACCCATAGAATCTAAAAACGTGAATATTCAGATTTCGAGTCAAATGTGGAATTATGAATTTATTATTTAAAAATTCAAAGGCTCATATTCTACACATAAGTCAATTTGTGATGAAGTTTGAATCTAGTCACAGACTGGTTTAAATCCTATACCATTTGGTATCTAATAGTTCTTGAGGTAATAACTTTCAAATGGTAAAAATCTTCCATAAAATCATTCAGACAAATGAACTTTACGATACGAGATCGCATAAATTGTTGAACATGTATACTCTAATTGGAAAATTATAAAATTAAAAATCCTTAAACAGATGCTTCACCCTAGCATGAAACTCCTCAACAGTGCTCGTAACTAAGACCACCAAGCATCAAACCCGGGACCTTAAACTTTGATAAATTGGCAGAAAAAAGATTGTAAAGCATTGAATAACTACCTAATAGTTTGAATATTAAGAACGCACCACACTATCTAGCGGTTCTGAGTTTGATCCTTGATTAAATCGTAGATTCGCATTATTGACGATTCCTACACTAGGACAAAACAGTTGTTCAGTGCTTTTTGCTTTTTATTGATTGTATAACCAAAGGGAGTTGGTTACATGGAACTTAAAATATTAGTATGCTATTTACTTTACAGTAAGCCTTATTTATTTAAAATGTTTATTGGAAAAGCAATATTGACAACGGAAGTATCAGTATCACTAACCTTTAGTGACAGTTATTTAAAATTTCCAACTGTAAGTTTCAATTACTTATTAAATAGCATCCAAGAAGCCAATAGGTCATTAAACAAGGTTTATACAAGTTAGTGGAACTTCTTTTTAAGGTATAACTAATGATATTTCAATAAGGGAAAGTTTTTCCTGGAATAATCATTGATGAACACTAGGAAATGTTTCATGCTTAGACAGTATGATACATTACTGTACATAAGTCAATCCTGATTTATGCAGAACATATACAAACTAGATTAAATAATACTACGATTAGATTTCTGAACTAAACATAATTACTATCATAAAATGAAGTGTGATTTTCCGATTAAGTGACTGAATAAGTTACAGATTGTTACATTTATTTCTGTATTGATGAGATTGTCCAGAATATACAAAGATTTCCATAACTGGGATGATATTCTGATAGATGAAATGTATATCTAATTTACAAGTAGTGACTAGTATTATGTTTATCTAATTCTTAACTGTGTGTTTATAGTCATCAAGTTATAATATGATTATTAGTCTAAATAACTTGATGTCTAGTACACAATGTATTTCATGTTATATCGTTGAAATTATTAGGCCATAATAGGGCGAAACGGCCGTCCAGTGCTTCCAGGTTTTCCATGGTGGTCTAACTTCAATGGACTCATGATTTCAATTATTAGGCAATAGTTAATAAATGTAATTAGCTCAATTCTATGATAATTCACTAGAAGCTCAAATAACTAAGTATTAATGTCTTGAAGTTAGCTAACATGGTTTTCAATCTCATGGATTACAGGTATAGCTTGATAGGAAGTATTATTTAACACAAAGTTCATAGTCGCCTGTCAACCACTTACAATTAACTAACATGCTACTTTATTAATTAACTGGAACTGTTAAATATTATGGACTACTGAATTGTCTAATCGTAACATAGCTAGTAGTTTAATTATATAACTTGGTTTTCAACGCTTTAATTGTTGGATGATTAGTAGGTGAACACTATAAACACAAGTCTCTCTTGTTATCTTGTGTGACTACACTCACCCACTTTTATAATTCAATTCAGTACAAGCATATTGTTTAAAAAACGGTGTGTATTTTAATTACTTCTATGGATCTCATTTTATTATTTACTAAAGTATCTAATTTGATCAAATCGATTCTGTGGTTGTGGTCAATTCTTTAGCCTTGTACAAGCTTTTAAGATATCTGTTTTCCAACTATACAAATATGAAAACAGATTATCCTGTTTTTTATATATATGTACTATAAGTGTTAATGGCATAAATTCATGCAATTTAAAGAAATAATTATAATTTAATAGTTGAATTCATCAGTCAATTGAAGCTAGATCACCATGGAAAACGTGAAAGCACTAGACGGCTATTTCATCCTATTGTGGGACTCCTCAGCAGTGCGCATCCACGAACCTGCTCTCGCGAGCGAGATTTGTGGATGCGCACTACTGAGGAGTCCCATAATAGGACGAAACGGCCGTCCAGTGTTTCCAGGTTTTCCATAGTGGTCTAGCTTCAATTGACTCACGCTTTCAACAATGATATATACGTATATATCATTAGGTAATTACACTGACATTCATGTATGAAAGTATAATGTAGTACAAAAACAAACGGCACTACATAAACTGAAGTTATTATCAATGTTTACATTGGAAATACTATCTGATCATATAACTTACAATAATCATAAATGAAATCAGTAAAATAAAAGACTTACATGAATTATTCTTTAGTATGACTTCTATATGAACAATGTAGCTTAACGAATAAGTAATGAGATCTTCTTCGGAGATTATGAATTTGTTCAGTTCGTTGAAGATTGTTTGTTATCTATAGTTATGTACAGTTTATAAATGAATAGTTCTTTTCTTTCTTGTTCTTCAAATAAGTATATATATTTGTTTTGATGAATTTGCTTGTTTCTAGATATTCCAGTTGGAACACCCACTCAATGAATTAGCATTAACGACCATAAAGATTTTCGCTTCTATCCTAGTCGAACTTTTAAAAGCCCGTAAAACATACATACAACTTGATCTATATATGAAAATTGATAGAAGGCTAGTAGTTAGTTTATCACGAGTAGAAGGGGAGTAAATCGAAGTTTATTTATTTATTTTTTATTCAGAATATAGAAAGATCATGAATTTCTCTGACCATCGTCAATCATCATGTAGACGAACTTATAATATCTAGTTAATATTGGATCGATACGCGCAAAATACTGGTCAACTATTAGAATGAATCGATCATACCAATTATATGTCCCTCTCTTCATGAATTATAACACACAACTCCACCTGTTATCTCCCTTCTATTTTATTTTTATCTTCGAACGAAAATAGTCCAGACAAGAAAAATTTTTTGGATTTATTTAATAGGTTGAAAATAGCCACTCGTTTTCTAATATGGTTGTATGTTATTTGTATTGATACTTACAACTTACATAGAGTTGTATGTATATTTGTTTATATTACTGTCCTGTGTTCTAAAGAGATCAACCGCTATCCTTTGTCCACTTTCTCTCTCTGCCCCCCAGTAAAAAATATGGACAGATTATCTATATCCATTTTGTCCGATGGACACATGAATAATCCAATGAACAAACAGTTCTTTAAAATTATACTACCCAGTAAAGTTTGACTACCTGAAGAAATAGACTAAAAGATTATTGGTCACATAATGTACTTCGACTATCATTAGCATCATACCACCCCCCTTTGGTGGATTTTTTTCTAATACGGAAACTGAATATACACAAGCATACACATACATACAAACACTATATACATATTACAAAGGACAAAAGATTTTTGTTTTTTTTTAATTGTACACTATGTCTGTATAGAGAAAGAAAGATAATAGAAAACAAGACTATTAGTTAGTAGTAGTATCATTTCAAATAATTGAACAAGAATTATTACGTTTTAAAGAGAAAATAAATTAAATTATAGTTGAATTATTTCTAATAGCAAATGGCTATCAGGACTCAGTAGCTGAGTGGATAATGCGATAGCGTTTGAAGCGAAAGTTATTGAGTTCGAGTCCCAGAGTAAGCATCAACTGCAGTTGATGAGTGTCAAATAGGATGAAACGCTCTTCATGGATTCCACTACTAGCCATTATCCATCTTTGCTTATCATGCTTGTGAATTTAGGCTATATCGAGCCAATACGCACAATATGCACATATGGCAGTAAGAGACTGACCAGTTGCAGAGAAGATTCAAACAAACAATACCATGTGAATGTAGTATTATAATCCTAATTATGTGTTGGTATTCGAAAAGTAGGTTATATACAATAGAAAAAGGTAAACAAACAAATTCTGTTTCACGTGGATAACATATAATAAGTTTACTTGGTATTGTTTACTTGTATCTGCCCATTGTTATTTAGGACTGCAATTGATCAGTCTCTTGTCGGCATATGTGCATACTGTGCGGGCTGCCTCGATATTGTCTGAAGTCACAAGCTTTATAAGCAAAGATTGATAGTGGTTAGCAGTGGAATCCAGTTTGACGCGCGTTTCGTTCTATTTGGGACTCGTCAGCCGGACGTACCTGCATCTCAGAGTTGATGTTCATTCAGGGACTCGAACCCAGGACAGTAGAAATTTATTATTAGTGTTAGAATAATTCACTAGTCATAGTAAATATACAGATTGTGTATTGTCTTTCAGTTTAATATTTTAAAGATAACGTACTGATTACAACATATTATTTAATTACACCTGTTACTACTCGTGGAGAGCATAGGCCTTCCTGTCACTCTTCTAGAGTTAATGCCCGTCTGAAGCCCCGTTAATGGAAGAGTGTTAGACATGGGGTCGACAATCCCATCCCGTAGAAAAAAAACCGTGCTAAAAACGCTAACCAGATTAAAGAAATTAAACCATTTAAACTCTGCCTTCCGAGTTGATGAAAGAATTATGACGCCTTATAATGAAAGACGAGATTCTTCGGGAGTCACGAGGCCGATGCCCCTTCTAACACCCAGAACAACAACTTATAAGGTACATTGTAACATATTATGACACTGTAAAGATGGTCGTGCACAGTATTGTATAGTTCTGGACAGGAATAAAGTATGTGTCAATTTTGTTATTAAAACTAATCCTTAAATAAACTATGGCAAAATTCTAATTGAATCGTAAAATGAATATTAAGTGGTAGTAGTGACGTAATAATAACATGATAATAACATTATACAGGTTCATATTTCACCGTCAACACTTGGAGTTATCTAATCGGTCGTCCTCAATTTTAATTTTCTACATTTAATATACCTCAAGATTATTTCTGTTGTCAATATAAACAGAGTCTTTCCATTACAACATTACCATCTTGGAATATCAGGCTTTTATTTTGAGATCATGACTTCTCTCTTCAATTACTGTTCAAGTGTTGTGTAATAGTCATCCGGTCTACCTAGTTCTCATAGATCGCTTTTCATGTTAGATGACCTTTAAATAGCTCTTATTCCGGAAACATTATAACCATTCTCAAAACAATAGGATCACCAGAAACTGAAATGAGCGGAAAATTGTGACATCATAGTCTAACTACTAATATACTTTAGTGAACATATATTATCTTATGAACAACTGTCTCGTCAGTCTTGCAAAATGAGGTGTTGATTAACTTACCTAGGTAGGTGGAATATTACTGGATATTTTGTAACGTTGACTTACTTCATATTTAGATTTGTGTATTGAGGACAGAAGGCTTACAACCAGTGTTAATCTTTTTTCTAGTAAGCTTCTGAAAGTGTCTAGTCTTCTTTTGAATGAGTCATTTGAAGGTGCGCACATCAATTCTTCGGGTTACAGGTTCCAAAAGTTAATGACTCAATGTGAAAATCTGTATGCCATATGTATTTTATTTGTCCTTGGCTTTTGAACTCACTTGGTATGTCCTCTGAGTTTTCCTGATCTAGTAGTAAGAAAAAGAGAGGATAAAAATAAAAAATAATTTCTCTGTATTCTATACAGCATAATCAGATTACCCCTTAATCTGGGGTAAGGAGTAAAGAGTTTTAAACTCTTAAGTCTCACTGTATACGGGAAACCTCAGAATTCCAAAATTGCACGAGTAGCTGTTTTCTGTACTTTTACCAAGATATCCGGGTCATCTTAAACAGGTAATTTCAATCTGAAAGCAGTTTTTATGTTTGGATTTCACTAAGGCTGTATATACAGTGATGAATAATCTAGTATCCAACGTGGTAAATGTCTGTCTTGATGGGAATAGATATGTTAATACAATGGTTTGAGAGTAGGTAAATTGAAAAATGTACATCAGTATATTCAAAAGTGCTGATTAATGGCGTTTAAATATTTTATAAAACAGCTTTCTACCAGATGAAATAATTATAAGCATGATTAGATAGAGATCATGCAGATTCCCACAGGTGATTTTTCACGTTTTAGCAATAGTTCGTTCTCATGAACTTGGAATTCATATAAAAAATTGTTTGCAAACATCATTAGATTAACATATCAACTAGATCTGTTTGCTTTCCAACTGACAGGTTCCAGATAGGTTGAAATGGGATTTCACTTTTAACTGCTATCTAACTTGAATATAAAAGGCTATGTCAGTGTAATTTGCTCAAAGCTTTCATATGTAATCACTTGCTGCTCTTTACTCTAATAACCTAAAAATACAACCCCTTGATGATTGACAGATAAGCCTTGATGTTTTCGATTTCTTCTTACACACTACTATTTTCACAACTTACATAACGGACTGATCTCAGTTAGACAAACAGTGAAAACCAAGAGGCATTGGAAAACCTTTTCGTTATAGTATGGGATTATTTAGAAGTGCATATCTACAACCCCGTCGGGGGTTGATTTCAGGATCTTCGGTCTTATAGTGAGCACTTAACCTCTAGACCACTAAGTCGGTATCAACTAATGAGGTCGTTCTTGGGCGCTTTTATCAAGTCTTACACTTAGGTGGAACAGCTGTTCAGTACTTCATAGCTTTCAGTGGTTGACTAGTTAGAATCAGTCAGTTGAGTAAGCAGTGGAAATTCAATAATCGCCACAAACTCATACTAAAATCGTTATTAATAAATATGGATATAAATGCAGTAGAAAAAAATAGAACAAAAATAAATTAAGTTTCAAATTATTTTGGATTATATTATCGCCAAAAAAGAGTTTTTAAGACATTGAATGTAGGAAACCGATTAGTCACTGAGTTGTGATTAGTTTTATGTTTGTCTAGTCCGTTAGAGGTAATCGAATTTTGTTGATCTAGTTGTAATGTTGCCTCTAGTTTAAGCAATGCGCGATCTTAGACATTGTGGTGATGGGTGACATATGCTCGAAGCTGCCAAGAAATTCTAGTTATCCTCAAATACTTCAGGTATGTCTTGTTGACCTATACCAACCAGTACGAAACCTACGTGGATTATCTTAAAATATGTTTTGTGATAGAATAGTCCTTACTACTAACGAGTAGTATAATAAAAAAGGCTTTATTTATTACTGTAGATTCTCAGTATAAATTGTACAAAATTACAATAAATTTCTCATTAATATACACTTAAACTGTGATTGTTCTATAACCATTTCAATATTTTCCACCCATCTTCAGTGATGAGAGTTTTCATGTGATACAACTATTTTTCTCATCCATCAGATATTAGACCTTCATAAATTCAAATATATTTACATTATAAGCAAAGATGAATGGTGATTAGCAGTTTAAACGATCTTAGCTTATAATGCTTGTGAATTAAGGCAGTATCGAGGCAATCCGTAAACGATATATGTGTGCCAATAAGAGACTGATCAGCTACCGTCCTAAACATCACTGGGAATATTCAGACAAACAACACAAAATGAATTTAAATATATATGCACCTTATTTCTTTCAGAAGATAAGCAAGTAAGAGAATATGTCGATAACTTTAAGATTTCTCATTGAAATTTCCAGTATTCAACATACCGATGGATCGTAAGCCATTAATAATACTGTTTGGGTACACACTATTTGGTTCAAACCAATTTAAAACAGAAAGGTTAGTCATGGATGCTCACTACTTAGGAGTCCCACAATAGGACGAAACTGCCGTCCAGTGCTTCCAGGTATTCCATGGTGGTCTAGCTTCAATCGACTCATGATTTCAACCATAAAATTACTGAAATCTCCACAAAAGTCCCTTCCGTTATTCAAAATAATTGTTCAGATGAAAAATTAATGTCGATAATGTAATAAGACGACGAAGATTATTGGGCGATCAGAAATTATCATTAACAGCAAATTTTCATGGTACTATCTAAAGAAATTAAAGTAGTAGATCTTTCATCATTATTGTTTTTCGAAATAGTTCAGAATTAATAGTTTAACGAACTAAGATTTTAGATTGTTATCATAAATTAATGAATGTTATATCACCATGGAAAACCTAGAAACACTGGATGGCCGTTTCATTCTAGTATGGGACGCCTCAACAGTGTGCATTCACGATCCTGCACACGGGACTCAAAGGAGTTCAGAG